CCAGCGCGGCCCTGCTCGGCCACGGGGATGGTGCCCCGTGCTGGGTGTCTCGGTGGGGAGATGTTGGCGCTGGCAGCCTCCGTCCTGGCTGGGGGTTGGAGGCCAACGTGAGCCGAGCAGGAGCTGGTGGTGGCCCTGGGTGCAGCGAGGAGTGCTGTGTGGGGTAGGTGAGCTGGAGTGTGCGCTCCGTCCGGGGGACCTAAACGCAAGGTCTGTGGCCCATAAAGAGGCCCAGCACACACAGCCCCTGAACAAAGCCATTGACATAGTGAGTTTTCCATCTCAACCAGTCGTGCTGGGACTAATCCCAGCCGTGCTCAGGCTTTCGGCTTAGCAGGGGCATCCTGGCGTGCTTGGAGACCCAGGCTGTTCCTCCCGAGGAGCATGGGCAGAGCTGGTGCCAGCAAGCACCGAAGCTTCCCCGCGTGCGTGGCTGTGCCTGCTGCTGTCACAGACAGCTCTCCCGGCTCTGATGGCTGCTCCCCTCTCTTGCCCCTGCAGAAGATGCTGATGAAGCAGCAGGACCGCCTGGAGGAGCGGGAGCAAGACATCGAAGAGCAGCTCTACAAGCTGGAATCGGACAAGCGGCTGGTCGAGGTAGCTGATGCTTTTATCCACGCTGTGGCTGACCCTGGGGACTGTCACCCTCTGGCACTGGGGGGTCTGGCTCCTGCGGGGGAGGTTAGCAATGACCCCAGAGCCACATGGACAAGGAGGAGGAGGGAGGATAGTGCAGAGGAGGGACTGCCAAGCCAGCCCTGCTGATACCTGGTGACTCCATTTCGGTCCCAGTGGTCCTCCTTTTGGGGGATGACGTGTGTTTGGGGCTGCCCCGCAGCCTCGTGGGTCTCGGGGTGAGTAGTGAGGTCAGCAACGAGGCCATATCTCTGCATATCACAGGGCCCACCCTTTGCTCAGCTGAGTGCAGCCTTCCCCGGGCTACCAGCTTCATCCCAAGTGGGAGGGAAGAGTCTGGAGGTGGGAGATCGCGAAACAGAGATGGGAGGGGGGAGCTGCTGAAATCCTCTCGGGGTGGAAGGTGGGACACAGATAAAATGAGATCTGCTCTTGGTCCTTAAAGCCCCTTGGCCTCTAGGAGTGGAGGGAAGGGCTGTGGAGCATGCTGTGTCCCCAGCTTGGGGTTTGGAGGGTTTGGTGATGGGGATGGGCAGAGTTTTCTTGCGGGAGCACGCTGGGACCCAGATTGCAGCTGGGACAGCCAGCCTGCACAGCACCCACCTTGGTGGTGCGGGGAGTTGCTTGGCTTTAGATCTGGGGAGGTGATCCCCTCCTAGCCCCCACGACATAGATCCAGGAGATGCACTGCATCAGCAAAGCCTCTGCACTAGCTCCGGCGAGTTTCCTGGCATGCAGGAGTCCTATGGGTCACCTGGCCAAGGGGTTTGCTCTGGGTGAGCGTCCCTGCAGGAGAGCAGAGGTGCGAGTGCAGCTCTCAGGCCACAGCTGCCCCACTGGGAAAAGGAACTCAGGTGTCCTGGGACATCGTGGAGAAGGCTGGCGGCAGGGGGGGGAGGCGCGGAGAAGCTGACCCTGCTCCTGTGCCCCCAGGAGAAGGTGAGCCAGCTGAAGGACGAGGTGCGTCTGCAGTACGAGAAGATGCACCAGATCTTGGACGAGGACTTGCGGAAAACCATGGAGATCCTGGACAAGGCCCAGGCCAAGTTCTGCAACGAGAATGCGGCCCAGGTCCTGCACCTCAACGAGCGCATGCAGGAGGCCAAGAAGCTCCTCAGCTCTGTTCAGGTCATGTTCGACAAAACTGAGGACATCAACTTCATGAAGGTGAGAAGAGCTGCCCCTGCCAGGGATAGGAAGAGGGGCTGGGGACATGGTGGGGTTGGCTGTGCAGGGGACAGGAGGTCAGGGAGGGATGGGGCACAGCAGGGAGCAGGATGGGGCACCGCCAGCTCTGGCAGCTGGTTGGTCTAACACGGATTAGCTGATTTCCCCAGAAGGCTCAGTGGTGGCAGGAAGGTGAGGAGGAGCTGGGGATGTTCAGCTCCGGCCTCCTCAAGCCCAGCAGGGATCAGTGCAAGGAGGGGTTGGACAAGGACACGCCACAGCTGCAGATGGGTCGGGGCAGCCTGTGCTGGGGGGAGAGGAATTTTTTGGGCTTAGACCCCGCCTGAGCCCTGCCGGACTCAAGGTAGTCCTAGCCACAAGGCCTGGAGCCGGCACTCAGACAGGGGTGACCCCTTTGCTCTCCAGGACGGGAGGGCAGCCGGATTTCCCAAAGCTGAAGGAGATGTCCCCTCTCTGACTGCAGGAGGGACTGGATGAGCTCTCCCATCTCCTGATCCCCTCCAGGCCTAATCCCATCCTCACATGCCCTAAAGCGCTCTGCTCTGGGCTGTAGAGATGACAGAGCCTTCCCTCTCCTGCCCCCGAGCTCCTGGGGCCTTAGCAAAGAGGCTTTCCCGGGGAACTGGGCACCTCGGTGGCCAGGCGGGGTGAGACCCTTTGGGATCACAGGGGGCTGTGATCCGGGGCATCTGCAGGAGGGCCAAGGCAGGGAGAGGGGGGGGCTTGGGGGCAGCTGGAGAGCTGCCAGGGGTGGGGACCCATCGTGGGCCGTGCCAGGCCGGG